CTCTTTCGCCCCCCTCCCCCGGCGTCACCCCCCCCCCTGCCCGGCTGTGGATTGCCGCCGGCCCCGAAATCAGAACTTGTGTGGCCGGCACATGCTGGAAAGCCGCCGAGAGGAAAAATTGAAAAAGTTTCCGGGTTTCGCGGGTCTTAGAAAGCGATTTCAGTTGGGCGTCTCTCCCCCAGCGGCCTCTCCTGTTCAGCTCTTGATGGAACTTAAGCGAAACCGCCCACACATACAATGCTCCTCCTTTCCTGCTATTTGTTGGAGATATTGAGTCGGGTACGGTCGTTCTTGGATGTTAGGAGATCGGTGAACAGATGAAGTCCCGTACCTCTCCGTAAATATGTAGGCTATAAAAAGGTCTTTAACTTCTTTCTATTTTACGAAATTAGGACTTCTGAACGTAATTTTCTCCGTCGTATATGTTCTACTTTCTCTCTTTAAATTAATTTAATAATTTTACAAAAAGAAATATGGTATTTATTGTTTCAATGTGAAGAAATATTATGTTTCTAAATGATAGTTACGTTTTAAATAATTCCCTTATTTTATTATATACAAAAAATAAAAAAAATATTTATTGACAACTTTATTTACTTCATCCGGGACACATCAACAATATCTAAAAGTTGTTTCTGGTGGATTAGCAGGTAGGAATTTCTTTCACAGGCTCTAATGCCAGCGTGAATCTAAGAGAGTTAGCGCCACCAGATGGAATTATTTACGGTACACATTTACCAGGAATCAAGAGTTTACCGGAAGATATTCTTTCAAAACGAACAAATCAACCCGTGTACATAAATGCGAAATCAAACTGATTATAATGTCTAAATAGGAAGATGGATTGTGTGAGTGAGGTGATTTAAAAAATAACAAATTTTCGGCACGAAACACAAATAAATGTAATCTTTCGGAAGTCGAAAGAAAATAAAATTAAAAAAGTATGTACAAGAAAATAAAATTCTCTCCTCCCACCCCTATGGAGTTTGATTTTAATTTCCAGGCATGACACCTAATTTCTTTAAAGATTTATTTACGCGCATATCCTATTTCGTTCTCCCTTTATATAATTTAAAAAAATCAGGATACTTTTCTGAGTTATTAACTCTCTTCAGATATACCATAGTGTTATAATTCGTACAAAAGTAATTGGTTAATCGAATGTAAAATGAGTAATGGAACATTAAGAAAGGACATTATTCATAAAAAGCAATTCGTCGTGGGTCTGAGTGTGTTCGAACAATATGGTTCACAACAAATTACAACACAAAGTTGTATTGAGAAAGCATTATAAATTAACAATTCACTTAAATCAATCGAATGCGTAACTTAGAAATGTGGATATTTGAAACTGATATGTCTGTGTTTAATAAAAGTTATGTCAATTAGTAAGGATCTGAACAATGTAAAATATAAAAAAGATACAATTTTCTGTCAAATCACATACTTTTGACCGAAGTGGTTGAACTGAAATTCACAAAAGTACAAACTTGAATAATAATTAACATAGGAACATTAGAGCTACTAGCAAAAACAAAAGCAATTAGTCATTGCGGGATGTAGACAGAATACGAAATTCAAATAATGTAGACAAAAAATATCATAACGGAAGACCAAAAAAATTTATAATCCATTACGTATCTTTTCTGTGGAGAAAATCGAAGTGAAAGAAGGTTTTTCGCCTGCACATAATTGAGATTAATGAAATCCGAATAAATGACAAATTCTCAATTCCTTATATAGAGTGAAGTCTTAAGGAAGGGCGGACGAGGAAAATGTTTACCCAGATGGAAACAATCCGATTGACTAATAGGAAGTGGAATGAAATAAAAAAGAGCTTTAATTCTGGCAGCTGCGAACAGAAAAGGCCAAAGCACGCATTGAATTATCTCCCTATTAGTCCCACGAGCCTTACGTTGACGCCATCTTGCTATCGGTAATCGTTCAAAATTTGCATGAGGAATCAGAGCGTGATCCCGTGTCACCTCGCTAATTTAATTACATTGTGAGATCATATTCCCCCCCTTCACCCTCGCCTTCTCGTCCTCCCGTCCATTTAGAAGGACGGAATCCAGCTGACGCGCGCGCTCCGCACAAAGCCCCTCCATCAGGCGGACGAAAGCCCAGCAGACGACGCGGCGCCGTCTAACCGTCCGCCAACCCCGACCCCAGCACTGCTGCCGTCACCACCTTCCCAGCTACTTCGTCGTCGACATATCTTCCGCCTCCGTTGGCCCCACCGCCTCATCTCAATATCGGTTCCTGTCACTTCCATTCCGTGTTGCCCGTCGTGGCCATTTCATCTGCCTTCCCCGCCACCGTCACAGCTCTATTTCCGTCTCCAAGCTTCTGCCGTCCCCACCATCCCAGCTACTTTGTCGTTGCCATATCTTCCGCCTCCGTTGACGCCACCGCTGCTGCCACCGTTTCATTTCAGTCCCTGTCCCTGCCACTTCTCTCCCGTGTTGCCGATCGTGGTCATTCCTTCTGCCTTCCCCGCCACTGTCACAGCTCTATTCCCGTCTCAAACTTCTGCCATCACCATCATCACAGATACTTCGTCGTCGCCATATCTTCTGCCTCCGTTGGCCCCACCGCCTCTGCCACTGTTTCATTTCAATCCCGGTTCCTATCACTTCCATCCCGTGTTGCCCATCGTGACCATTGCTTCTGCCCTCCTCTCCTGACTTCACCACCCCCACCATAGCTGAATTATCGTCGCCAATACTTCTGCCATCACCATCATCACACGTTATTCCTCGACGCAAAATTTTCCGCCCTGTTGACGCCAAAGCTTCTGCCACCGTTACATTTGAAACCTCGCTATATCACTTCCAACCTGTATTGACCATCGTGGATATTTTTCTATCCCTCACTGCCCGCCCCCGTCAGAGCTCTAACACTTCTGCGCTCACCACAATTGCAGCTTCTTTGAGGTCGCTTCATATTGCGCCCCTGATGTTTCAATGGTTGCCACTGTCATATTTTCAACCCCGAGTCACCACTCTCACCCCATTTCATTGCCATCACCGCCTTCAGCTACAACTTCCGTTTCCGCCATTACCGTTACTGTTTTTCTCATCACCACCACTGTCACGTCTCCATCCCCACCGCCATTACATCCACCCCTAGTTCGCCACCGCTTCTGCCATCACCGGCACTCTAACAGATGCCACTCCATCACCCCTTCGATCGCCACGAATTCCAATGTTGCCACCCGGTTTTATCCAAAACCACCAGCTCCATTACCCCTATCTCCATTCATTTTAATCGGAGAGCCGTAACCACTGTTGTCATCCCTACCTCCCCCAATGCCGTCCCGCCCATTCTTCAAAATGCTGCAGCCGTTGTCACCGCTTCCGCAACAACTGTCACCGCTGCCGCAACCATCACCACCACCATCCTCACCACAATCATTACCGTCATCAACATCATCACCATCGTCGGCACCACTGCAATTGTAACCACTATAACTGTCGTCAAAATCATCATCACTATTACCACTACCATTGTCGCCAAAACCACCATCGCCATTAACACCGTCATTGCAAATCTCACCTACTTCAACGGAGCGACACCCACCGCGAACAATACTACGACCATTTTTGCCACCACTCCCGCTACCACCACCGTCAAAGCTATCAAACGATGGTACTGCCAACCCTCCCACCTCCCACCACTACCACTCCTTCAGTCTCACTGACCAAGCCTCCGCGGCCACTCCCTGCCGTTCCCGCCACTTCTCTACCCCCGCCACCGTCTGCATCACGCTAAACGTGCGGCCGCCTCCAGTTTGTGCGTTGCCTCTGTTTTCCCCCCCTACTTCCGTCGTTTCGAGCGCTACAGCTTTTATCATCGCCATCCCCGGCATAAACATTATCACCCACAATATTTCTGCTGCCCCACAGTCCACCACGAATAGAGTCGTGACTGACGCTGAATTAGGTGGCCATCTATTTAAAATCCTTCTGCTGCTCCCCCGGCACTGTCATCCCGTCAACACCACCATTACTTCCGCCTTCGATGCTGATGCCAATACCTTTGCCACCCTTGATACCGCTGCTGCCACCGCTATCACCTGCACCTGCTGTCACTTGCTATCACCATAGTGATATTACCTCCAAAGTCCCTAAATAACTGGTCTCGTTCAGCCCCCACCTTCTAGATCACCATGTCCCATATCAACGTAGTTGGTTGTGTCTTCCATTGTTGTTATTAGCTGCAGCTACCTCCTCTATCGTTGACTCTTCCATCAGCATTATTCCTACATCCCTGACCACCTCACCACTGCTCTTCAGCAATCACCCGCCTCGGCCGTCACTGCCTGGAAAATCGTGAGTTCGGTTCCACACACTCCACTACGGCCATAACTACCATCGCTAACGTCATAGTCACATCCTTCACTTCCATTTCAGTATTCATTATAGTCGCCGCCCACAACTACTCTACCACTGTGCCTTTGGTAATTTTGAAATAGTTTTAACTTCCGCTTGCTTATCTTTTATGTGCTGCCATTTCCATGGCCTCCTTTGACATTACTACAACGGGAATTGTCATCATTAATCGTTATAGTTAGTTCTCATTGCTTCTGATCGCATTTGCCGTTGCCACCTTCTTCGTTTCTGGCATCGCCAAAGCCACTCACACGTTTTTGCCGATACGCCTCTATGTCAGCCCCACTACCATAATTAACGCAAACTTTTTAGTTGCATTGCCACTATCGTCTTTACCTAATATGTTGGTCACTGCTTCTCTAATCTGTAGAACTACCTTTCTCTCTACGGCCCCTGGCTTGTCCTGATTCCCAACCAAACCGAGCCAAATCGCAAATTTTCACTCTTAAATTTCTCTTAGTTGGAAGCGTTAATACGAAGCACATTGCCGCCATCACATCATTTCCATCATCGCCACTCTCGTTAAATATCACAGTCACTTTATCTCTACTACCACTTTATACTGCTAAGCTGTGCTGTGCTGCGCTATGCTGCGCTCAGACTCCTTCATAGCCTATCTCTACAAACGAATTCCACATCGTTCATGATGCCAACTCCACGGTCACTCTTGCCATCACCACATCGCTCCGCAAACACTAACACAGTTTTCGTCTCAGTCTCCTTGTGACACAACTTCTCTCCCTCAGCCCTGCTTGCTCCTTCTCCACCATGAACCCAATCGCAGCGTTCCTCTAACCCTGCGTATAATATTGCCACTCACCCTTCATTACAACTAGTGTCACCTCCATCCTCCCAGCCGCTTCCATTGCCACTGCCTGTGCCATCACTACTCTCCTTAACGGCTTCAAGAGCTGCCAGCGCCTCCCGTGGCCGACGTCGTGTCACCGTCTCATTTCACCCGGCTGCGCGGATCAGCTCTCCTAAGCTGGTTGGGGCAGAGGTGGTGGGAAGATGGGAGCGGGGGACGGTGAGGGACATGGGAGGGGGCGGCGTTAGGGGGCGGCCGGGCTGTGGGAATGGAGGACAGGGCGAGGACGGAGTGGGGGTGGGGGCAAAGCGAGAGGAACATGTTGCGAGAGGACTGGCGTGATGGGGA